CTGCAGCAGCAGCAGGTCGATGATCAGGTCTCTCGTACGGCACATCAGCATGCCGAGCAGCAGCAGGTCGATGATCAGGTCTCTCGTACGGCACATCAGCATGCCGAGCAGCAGCAGGTCGATGATCAGGTCTCTCGTACGGCACATCAGCCTGCCAAGCAGCAGCAGGTCGATAATCAGGTCTCTCGTACGGAAGCTAAAGCTTCTAAGCTACGCAGGTCAGCACGGTCAACAAAAGGCAAAACTTCTCGATTTTAAAAATGAGTTGTACAATGCTTACCTAGTCAGCATAATAATCATGTTCTATACCAGCAAGAAAATCAGGTGGGATAGGGTTTCCGTTGAGGTTGTTATTTGCAGCAAAAAGAGGATGGTTTCGTTGTAATAAGTCAACCTAAACAGATTAGCTGTTGTACGATTAAAGTTCAAATGTATTCAACATACAAATTCATTAGTACCACCAATTGGATGCTTTATTAGCGATAAAATCGGCAGATTGCCAGAAGCTTCGTGCTGTCGTATACGGTGGCGAAGGTCAAGGTATGTACGAAGATGGGGATATTTGTGATCTTCTTCCGTACGAAGGGTGCCATCAAAGCCTAACTCTTCAAGCTGTGCATTACACCATGCTTCTGTTTCTTCTGTAAAAAAAGCATCAATTTCGGTATTTTCCAACGAATCGCTCATTGTACGAAGCAGTGCTTCAGTTTCAGAGCCTTCGGGTATTGGAATACCCCAATTGACTTCGCAAGTTTCGTAAATTTCTGTAGGCTTTCCAGAAACAACATGTGGTCGGTTCTTTTGCGTACGAATAGTATGGTTATTCCATAGTTGTACGAACTCTGCAACTTCTGTACGAAGAATAGGTCCATAAATTGCATAAACTGCAATAAGGTCTCGATCGTCATTATGGTTAATAAGTCCAATAGTTGTAAGTTCGTCCGCAAATATGATCCAACGGTCAGTTAAGCCCATACGAAGGCTTCGCCACCAAGCTTCTATTTTTTGGTTTTGTTTGCTCGTACCCCATAAATGGCACGAAGATAAACGGTTGCCTTGTCGATGAAGCCGCTGTTCTCCATTTGGACCTTCGTACGCTATAGCAGTTCCATCTGATTCAGCAAGAATACCTTGGGCACCAGCAAAAAGAGCAGTTTCAACGCCCATATCTGCCCGAGTAAATAATGGTCGTATACCTGCAGTAGATACTGTACGAAGGAACTGCTTTAATGTACTTAAAGAAGTACAGGCAGTAGGGCCAACATAAATCCAGATAATCATACGAGAGTAAGCATCGATGCAGGCGTAAATCTAATAAGTTAGCTATTGTACGAAGAAAAAAGTTATTGTACGAAAAAGAAATTATTGTACGAACCTCAATACCAATTTTTTGAAGCTTCATATACCCGTCAAACCCCCACATGAAATTCCGGCCAGGGATGACATATTTCCCATGCTGAAAAGTAGTCGATTGACTTCGCTGTCGTACAGACTCTGGCCAACGAGCTTTATAATATTGATAAAGCTGGTTTCGTCCGACAATAACGCCTGCTTGTGTACGTACGAACTCATAAAGATAGTTTTTTCCAAAGCTTCGTATCATAGAACTTCGTTGCTGATGTTTTTCTAGAAATTCTGCTGCGCGTCGCATAGCTTCAGCTCGCTCTTCATCTGTACGATACCGCCGTTTCATGCCGTGGCTTACGCGGATGCGTGTAATCGTACGAAGAGAAATAGTAATACCAGATTTCGAAAGATCAAGTTGAATAGATTTATCTTTCCAGCCTCGTACGAAGAAAAGAAACTCGATGCGATGAACAATTTCTTCTGCTTGAAGTTTAGTTGTACGATTAACAACTAAATTCCATGCTTGAATCCGGCGCTGCAATGTACGAAAAGTACAGTCAACGCCTTGTTCATTGATAAACTGGTAAATTTCAGCAACAGAAATGCCATCTTCGTACAACTCAGTAATCTGAAGACGGAATTCATCAATATTAGATAAGGGACGACCTTTTCGAGACATTGTATTGTTGTATGAAAAATAGAAAATAAATAAAGGTAAAAAAAATAAAATAAATTCTGTTTTGATTTTTTTTTGTACGATGTGTGCGGGGTAATAGTACGTACCTTTTCCTGTTTTCTGTTTTCTGTTTTCTGTTTTACGTTTTTGATTTTTGTCGCAAGTGGCACTAATGGCCCACCGTCACCAGCCCCCACACTTTCATATCTGCCTTAGGACATACCGTGTGAGAATCTGGATGCTTATTGGTTGTGATGTTTGATATGTTACTGGAGTCTGAGCTCACCAATCAACCATGTGAGATTCTGGAGCGATGTGATAACTTATAACGAGCCAAGATATTCTAAGCGGACCTGGATGGAAGTACATACCCTCCCCGGAGAAGCGGAGAAGTACTCATTATACCATACCTTCTGGCGTTGGTCTTGGTATTGTATACTTTACTCGAACTTGAATAAGGTTTCTTATATTACTGCTTTCCTATACATCGTTCCTGTACTGAGAAATCGTTTGTCTAAAAGGATTATATAATAAAAGCTGTATAAATCTGAAATTTATAGTCCCGGGGGCTAGGCCTTCTATGCTACACTACCTCCAGGCTACCAGGTAGTTACTTAAACCTACTTACCCAAATGCCGGGCTCTCGGGCACCTAAGCGGCGGGCCAAGGCGTCATATCTTTAGGTAGTATCTGCACTTTTGGCACTTGATACCCTGTACTTACTTAGGTACCTTCGGCAACGATCCGAGCCTCGGTAGCAATTGTTGTCAAGTAAGCTGTACACTATCCGACGTGCCTCCCGGCATGCCAACCTGAACTGGAACTGCGTACCTCGTGTGGACTCAGGATGACTCAGGAAAGTGTATCTTATCCGTGGAACGATGAGGCTTCAAGTTGGAAGTGCCTACTGAGCTTACGAAATATGTCACCTCGTCCCTGTTTATTTGATGTTCATGGGAACCTCGCTAAGCGGTAGCTACTCGTGAAACGCTAAGGCTTCAGGTCGGAAGTGCCAACTTAGCTTACGAAACAGGTCTTCACCCCTGTTGCTTGCATGTTCATGGCCCATGGAAATCCAACTAGGCTGCAGCTGAATTTCTGTGCGGCTATCGAGTTAATATATATTCTAGACCTCTATAGAAACGAGAGCATAGGTAGGTAAATACAATCCAAGGAAGTACGAAGTAAATGAGATAGGTGACATACAGAGTTGTAGTATTGGTCCTACACTGTGTACCGGAGCTAAACGTCCGCTTAGCGCCGATTTTCCGCCAAGCTCTATGTAATCTACAATCTCAAGCGTTGCGAAAGTAAAGCTAACTTGGCCGAGTGGTTAAGGCGCCAGACTTAAGCGGGGTCCCACTCCAGAGATTATTATCCAGAGTTCTGGTAACGAAAGTTGCGTGAGTTCGAACCTCACAGTTAGCAATATACGACTCTACTTTTTGCACTCCTTTTCCATAACACCTTCTCACTATACTACCCTGGGGCTGATTGCATCAAATTAGGTAGGCATCTATCTGGTACAATCGTGCAAGGGACGACGCCGGGGTGGATAGACGATTGTTCCACACCGAGAGATAAAATGTGAGCAAAGGAGAGAGATTATAATGAATCTCCTTTTCCCTCTCCGTTATAGGCAGGCATGCCATGGTATATATAGAACTACTCACAGATAGTTCTTGGTCTATTTATTATCTTTTCAGTCTAATCCCAGGCCGGCTAAATATATAGTGCATGTATGTATGTATGTAAGTAAGGTATGGTATGTTGTTTAACTTGGTATCGATGCATTTAATCCATTCCATTTCCACCCTTCCTCCTGTCTAAGCTATCGGAGCAGCGACTCCTCCGGCCTTTCTGCTCTCCTTGATGAAATCAGCGGCCCTCTCGGCGACAGCGTACACGGTGGTCTGGATGTTGCCGAGCGGCTCGAGGGGGATCATGCTGGCGTCGACGACGCGGAGGTTCGAGGTGCCGTGCACGATCAGTCGCTCGTCGACGACGCCGCCCAGCTCGCGCGGCAGCATGCGGCAGGTGCCGGCGATGTGGAAGCACGAGACGGTGCGCGCGCGCACGATCTCCTTGGCCGTCTCGACGTCGTCGCCGGTGGCGTCGGGCAGGCGCTTGAGCGCGGGGTCGATCATGTCGCTGTAGGGCGGCGTGTTGACGATCTTCTCGACGAAGCCGACGGTGCGCGCGAGGATCTCGAGGTCGAGCGGGTGCGAGCAGTAGTTCGGGTTCCAGGTCGGCGGGTCCGAGGCGTCCCGCGAGGACACGTGCACCGAGCCCCGCGAGAAGGGGTGGTTGAGCAGCGCCATGATGCCGATGCAGTCGTACGGCGCGTGCGACGTGAACATGTCCGTCAGCGTGTCCGGGTGCGTCGTCACCGTCAGGGACCCGGGGAAGCACAGGTACTGGATGGCCGGCTCGGTCTCGGTCTCGAGCAGCTCGCGGATCAGCCTGAACTCGCGCTTCTGCGCGGGCGTCGGCGCCGGCCCGTTACTGGAGAGGTACTTGTCGAAGAGGGCCTTGCGGTCCGCCTGCGTCATGATGCCGCCGCGGTCCGCCAGGGGCACGTAGGCCACGCTCGTCCCCATGCCGGCTAGCGGGCCCTGTTTAGTCGAGGCGTACTGCTCGAACGCGCTCTGGAACTTGGCCGGGTCGCGGAGCCCATCGGCGGACGGGTAGCCCGCCTTCACGGGGAACTGCTGCGAGGTCATGAGGTGGTCCTGCATGTGCTCGCCGACGTTGGGGTTGTCGATCAAGACGTCGATCCCGAGGCCTTCGAGGACGTCGCGGTCGCCGATGCCGGACAGCTCCAGCAGCTGTGGTGTTCGGATGGTCCCCGCGGCCAGAACCACCTCCTTGCCGGCCGTGATGGTGCTGACTTTGCCCTCCTTGTCCTTCACCTCCACGCCGGTCGCGACGACCAGGCCGTCGCGAGTCGCCGTCGTGATCCTCTGCACTATCGTCTCCGTCAGCACCTTGAGGTTCGGCCGCTTCGCGATCTCGTCCGTGTAGTACGCGGTCACGGACGAGCTCCGGGTGTTCGTCCCGCTGAGGATGGTCGACGAGTTCTGGAACGCGCCGACGGCCTTGCCGGTCCTGGGGTCCGTCTTCATCTCCAGGCCGAGCTCGGCGAACGTCTTGAACCAGTTCTCGTTCATGACGCTGTACTGGTCGTCGAAGGAGAGCTGGATGGGCCCGTCGCCCGCCAGGTCCTCCCGGTAGTAGCTCAGGCCTCCCAGCGTCTTGCGGATCGTCTCGCTCGGGGGGTGCGACGTGGAGAACTTCCGGAAGTAGGGCGCGAGGTCGTCGAAGGTCCAGCCCTTGTTGCCCATCTTGGCCCACGTGTCCAGGTTCGTCCGCGACGGGAACATGGCCATCATGAAGTTGGTCAGGGAGCTGCCGCCGAGAACCCTGCCGGTATCCTGCCGGAGATGGCGGCCGTTTAACTCGGCCTGCGAGCCACGGGGAATGTCAGCGACACACACCAAGGATTGCATCTCCCGAAGTTCGCCGAAGCAAGCACACGACGAGGCGTTCCGTTCCGTACCTGTGGGGTTGACTTGAAGGGCCAGATGAAGCGATCGTCGGCATAGGCGCCGGCGACGAGACCCGGGGTTTCGAGGGCGGGATCGGTCCTCTTGTCGGCTCCGGCCTCGATGACCAGGACGCTGACGTCGGCGTCCTCGCTCAGGCGGGCGGCCACCACCAGCCCGGCCGTCCCGCCTCCAACGATGACATAGTCAAAGGATTCGCTCATCTTTTTTTTTTCGTGCGGCGGCGCGTCTCAACGACAGCGATTGACCCCGATTCGGCGGGTTCGGTTCGTCATGAAGATTGGACAGAAGGAGGGGGAGAGAGAGTCGGGAAGAAGGCTCGGGCAGGGGAGCCCGCCTGCTCTTTGTGCTGCAGGGACGCCCGTGTTTACTGTAGTAACGTAAGCTGACATGGGATTGTTAGTGGACATGAGGCGAGACATTACACATCATCTCAGTTTACAGACCAGGGCTAGGCAAACGTCGATCCGCCGCCTCGTACGACCTTCAGATAGGTAAGTTATGCAGCTGTAGAATATCTATCGATCGATAGACAGATCCGTCTACGTTCTATCTATCTTTCTACCTATATTGGTATGTTCCCTGCCATTTTAGCCACGAGATTGGCCACGGGCGGTAGACTGAAACCATAAGAGAATTGATCTAAAGATCTAAATGACATTCAGGGCCTGGAAAAAGTAGATAGTCAGCACCATAAAAGTGCCTGACGTTCTTTTAATGCCGATGCTGACGCTGACGCTGACATGGCGGCGCATAGGCTTATACCAAGAAAACGTATGAGGGGCATGAGGGGTAAATCGCAAACATTCGATGCTACTCCAGACCGATATGATAATCAGGTACTGCACACCTATGATTCGGACGCCCCGGACCGAGTGGTATGAGGTCCTAATCGTTTTGAAAATTGTATATAATCTACCCGATGGATGGTATTGAGCACCTAAGCTATAGATATTTAGTCGCATGTCATATTCAATCAACTTCACCCAGGACAAGTTGGTACCCCAATCGTCAAATTTTATTTCAATAACCGACCGCGATGTAATTCAGGAACGCTAGCCGCACTTACACTATTTCAGGCGTTAAAGCTGCTAGGCGCCCTGGAATTGCGAGGTTTTCTGAAGGATCCGCCTCTTAAAACACCAATACTTCGAGAGCTAACTCATGGCCTGCACACCTATGTCGCCGCTCCCGGTTATATGGAAACTATCTGGTGGTCTTTGAGAGTCATGATTGCTGAGTAGGTAACGGGCGGACGACATAATGGCAAGATTACTGGACAGCACATGGCTGGGGGTTATAAAGCAAAGCGTAAACAAGACTCTGATCAAGATTCAACCCCACGAAATGAAATGTCCCTGCTCGTATTATATAACCTCTAGAATTAAACAATTTTATCGGGTATTACCTCGTATGTGGGGCTCTTATTAAATAAGGCATATACTACTAAATAGCTCGACCTTTACTAGCTATATATTAATTTAATTTAATATAACCATTGCTATTTTAATTAAGCTGTAATATTTAGTAAGAGCTGCATTTTATTTTTTATATTTATGCGGTTATATCTCCTATTGCAGTTGTTTTTAAATCTAATTTATCTTTTTTTTATCCATTGGTAATATATTAAGATTAAATGGATCTAATCTTAAACTAAAAAAGCTAAGTTATCCGGCTAAATTATTAGTAAAAATTATTATATATTTTAGTTTTTTAAGTGCAAAAGTTAGCAGTATTAAATTAAGCACTTTTAAAAAAAAAGATTTTAAAAAAGCAGATTATTTATAGCTTAAACTAAGTATATCTATTAATAAAATATAAAATCTAACTATTATAATTTTTTATATTTTTATATATTTTATTTAAATTTTTTTATATAGGTATATTATTTATTTAATATATATAAATTTTTTTTAAAAAATAAGAAATAATTTTTATTATTATTAATTCGATATATTTTTTTATAAACTAAAAATTTATTTAATATAAAATAGTTATAACGTTACTATTTTAAGTTAATATATTATTAATTAAAAGTTGCAACTTATTTTTAGCACTGTTTTGTTTTATTTTTATTATATTTATCGAAGTTTTATACTAGTTTGTACGGCATTTTGACTTTATATTTACTTTTATAATATAACGTATATAAAATATTTAATATTTTATTACTTAGACTTTATTTTGCACTATTATACTAAATTTACTTTAAATTTTAAATAGGTTTTATAATAAACGGGCTATTTAAGCCTATTACACCTTTTAATCTAAAATTAAATTAAAATTAAATAACGTTTTTAGTCCGGAGTTTTTATACCAATTAGCTAACACTTTAAAAATTAACTAAAAGTATAACCTATTATTTATAAAAAATAACCTATTAATAGCAAGCTTTTTTAAAACTATTAAATTAACCTCGAACGTTTTAATTTAAAAGCAAATTATATATAAAAACTTATTTTTATTAAAGCTAACTTTATTTATAATAAGTTTATATGTTTATAGTCCGCTAAATAATAATTTATTTAATTATAACGATATAAAAAAATTAAAGTTAAAGTTATTATTTATTTTCGATTTAGTTTTTTATAAAATGTTTTTTAACTATAAATATATATAAAACTGTCTGTTAAAATATTTATTAATATTTTTATTTTTAAAAAACTTTAAAAAAAAAGCCTTTAAAAATACGTCGAAAATGTGGCCCTGCATATTAATAACCTGCTAGCAAATAAAAACTTAACCGCAGCAAAAAAAAAAAACTAAAAAAGTTAATATTTTATTAAAGTTTTTAAAAAAAGGCTTAAAAATAATATTAATACCTAAGTAATAAATTATAAACAGATTATATTATTATAACTG